AATTTTTCAATAAAATGAACACTTCTGCTGATCTAAACGTCCGAAAATGTTGAATATATCTGATTCTATGCCCATGGGCACGCCTCTTGACATGTATTTTTTTGGACATCGTTTATATAATTTTCACTGTAATAGTCAGGCTGTGCTGTGCCCTGATTTTATAAAAAAAATCATTCATGTTTGGGCGCCACAACATTTTTTTTTTCGTTATAACCACTTTGCACTTTGTTATTGTTGTTCGTATAATTTATTTTTCTTTAACCTTACCTTGACTTTCCATTTGGGCGCCATTCGTAGATCTCTCAAATTTTTTTCTAAATAAATCGAAGTTATTTTTAATGGGAAGGATGAAACATTCGCTCATTTTGTTCCATTGCATTTATATATATTTTTTGTTTTCGGAAAATAAAAATATAATTTTTTAAAACATAAAAATTGAATTTGTTTAATATTTTCATTTATATTATTTGTTTCTTTTTTCTCATTACTTCCGCTGCTCTTTTAAACATTTTAAATTTTTGTTTCGTGTATAATTTATAATACTTATAATTAAGTTACATTTATTTATCACTATAGGTATATATAGATTCGTTTCAAATTTAACTTAAATAAATTTTTATATATAACTTTAATTTTTTGTTATTGTTGTCGAAAAAACTTAAAAAAAATCACAAGTATTCTTAGAGAGAAAGTTGAATTTAAAAATTATTATTTTTGTTTTTTTTTTTTTTAATCGGAAACCAAATTTTTTTTTATTTTGGGACACATTGAAGTTTGGAGCAGTTTTGAATTTAAAATTTTGTATTTAAAGAATATATATTTCGAAATTCAAATTTTCATAATTGTAAATAAATGTATTTTTTTAAAACTATTGTTGTTGGTTGGTTGGTTTGTTTTGGGCTGTTGGCTGTTGTGATAATAAATGAATCTGTTATGAGTGGAGATCTTAATGAATAAATAAATACGAGTACTTATTGCTGGTCTATGGTATACTATTGTAGTTGTAGTTGTTGTTGTAATTCTTGCTTATGGATCTATGGTCTATTGTTGTTTTTATGGTTGCTGTTGTAGTTGTAGTTTAATATGGAATAATATAGGACAATAATAACAAAAAGTCAAGCTGGACTTTAATGGTCTTCTGGTTACAAAAAAAGTGGTCCGCAATATGCTAGCTTCATACTTCAGATCTATCAGTTGGAAGATATATTGGGTTCTGCAAAATTTAAAGACAATGAGACTCTTTTTGTTAACATTTTATAAGAGTTATGATTTTTCGAAATGTTAATCCTTTATGGGGGAGGACAATATTGCCCATTTTCGCAGCTGACTTAACACTGATGCAAATATTAGGAATTGCAAAGTTTAAACGAAATCGGATGGACCTATCTATTTGTATAAGGTAAATTTTTTTCTTTGATATTTTTAAAATTTTTCACATTTTGTGGAGGAGGTATCAGAAGGAGTGTACGGATAATATTTATTACCGAACCTGATCTAATTTTATATTATTATGTTGTACCATGTTCGGACGGATACCCCCGTCGAGTGTTATCGTGTACACTAGCCAACAAGAAAGACATATAGACAAACATCACTTCATAGAATCCAAATGTCCTGAAACGGATTTCTTTCAAAGAGACCTATGGAATTTTATTTCGATGAGGCACATTTTAGCTGTATCTGTAGTCATATGATTTTAAAATTGAATCCTTCTGGATAAATGCTCGGAAGAAGAATGTAGTTAAAGGACCAGACTAGGTCCATCAAATTACTTAATATCTGTGGGCTTCGTTTTGGACACCAGTTGTAGAACTTACAAATACCGAAATTGAAACAAATACGATAGAATATGTATCACCCAATCCCTGGGCCCCCATCCTCGAACGTCGTTATTGCGAACGTGGTTTTGAATGGACCTGCCCTATTTACTACTGTTTTGAATTTTTATGCAGGATGTATTCTTCTATAATACCCAGGAGTATTAATTCTCTAAATATTTGTTACGTGCTTTATATGCCTGCCTTGGCCCTGCTTAAGTTATTTAATTCATATAAGAATATTTAATTTTCATACCCCCACCATACATAGTAAGGAGGGTATATTAACAAAATATATATTCTTGATCAGCGTAAAATTTTATCCGTCTGTCCGTCTGTCTGTTGTAATCGCGCTAGAATAAAAATGCATAAGTATAGGAAGTTAAAATTTTGCACAGATTAGTCTTTTGTCTGCAGGCAGGTCAATTTCGAAGATGGGCTATATCGGTCCACGATATATATGTCTGAAAATCTACACAAGGAGTTCCTTCTGAATATTTTAGCCCCTGAAATAGAACTGCCTAAATAGGTCCACGATATGGCTTACCCCCACACAACGGTCCCCCGATTTTGGGTATTTTGATGATTTTAGCGACATTTTTGACAGTATTTTTTTTTTAAATTTCGTATTTGAAGTTCAACCGGCCGAACTTCGCAGATTTATTACTTTTTCAAATTGAATCCTTCTTGTGATTATTGTACCATGGTTATACCAATTGTCATTCTGATTGTTCCACCTCGAAATACCCACTTTAGACCCCACAGCATAAATAATCTATGCCAATTTAGTCATGCCAGTCCGTCTATCTGTCCATTCGTCTGTGGAAATCATTTTAGCTTTCGACCGAAATGAAGTAGGTTGATAAAATTTTTTTCAGATGTATTTTACGTCCGTAGAATTGTTGACATTAAAAATGGCCCATATATGTAGGTTCACATTTTGATATATCCCTGTACCGCCAGATTTAAATTGTACCGCCAGATATAATTGTACCTCCAGATATTCGGTATTATTTTACATTTTTCACCGGAATTGTTTCCAATGTTGTATTTGGAGTTCGTAATAGGTACTATCTTCAAAGTCTACGTCTTCGTACAGACCTCATATAATGGTACCTCCCTATTTTTGTGTATTTTGAGGATTTAAGCAACATTTTTCAGGAAAATTATTTTAAAGTTGTTGACAATAGATATTGTCTTCTCGGAGAGAATTTTTTCAACGCAGGTCCACATTTCCATATAGGCCAAATATAACTGGGCCTCCTTACGATATTCCAAGTTTTAATGATTCAAATCACTTTTTTTCGACGGAATTGTTTCAAATATTTGTATTTGACGTTCGTATGAGTGCTTCCTGCTATGACGGAAATTTGCCTATACAGGCCCACATTTTCGAATAGCCCCCATATACTTCCTTATAGTCGGTATTTTGACGATTTTAACTACGTTTCCACAGAATTATCTCAAACTTGGTATTTGGAGCTCGCAATGGGCACCGCCTTTTTTGGCAGATAATTTGTTATAAAAATACAAGTATGTTGATAAAATTTCACTCAAATGTGTGTTTACTCTGCAGGAATTTTGGTATTAAAAATGGGCCATATAGGTCCAGGGTTAGGTATAGCACCCATTGAACAGTACCTTCCTACATTCGGTATTTTGATGAATTTAGCGACATTATACACCGGAATAGTTTACAATTTTGTATTTGAAGGTACTAATGGGTACTAAAGGCTGTGAAAGAAAATTGCCTATGCAGGTCCAGGTCTTCATATAGCCCCCTTATATCGCTACCTCCCTATATTCGGTATTTTTGAAGAATTTGGCTATATTATTCACCTGAATGGTTTCAAATTTGATATTTGAAGACCATAATGGGTACTACAGCCTATGACAGAAAATTATCTTCGTATAGCCCCTAATTAACGGTTCCTCCCGATATTCGGTATTTTTATGATTTTAGAGACATTATTTACCGGAATTATTTCAAATTTGGTGTTTGAAGTTCGTAATGGGTACTACAGGGTGTGACAGAAAATTGTATGTGCAGGTCCAGGTCTTCGTATAGCCCCCTTATATCGCTACCTCCCTATATTCGGCATTTTGAAGGGTTTGTCTACATTATTCACCGGAGTTGTTTCAAATTTCGTATTTGAAGTTCCTAATGGGTACCACAGTCTGTGACAGAAAATTTTCAATGCAGGTCCACGTCTTCGTATAGCGCACCCTATATCGGTACCTCCCTATATTCGACATAAAATGTCTATGCAGATCTATGTCTTTGTATAGCCCCCCTATATCAATACCTCCCTGTATTCGGTATTTTGACGATTTCAGCGACATTATTCCCCGGAATGGTTTCAAAATTCGTATTTACACTTAGTAATGGGTTCTATTCTATAACTCGGTATTTTGAAGATTTTGGTTACATTATTCACTGGAATTCGTATTTGAACAGTGTAACGAGTAATACAATCTGTGGCAGAAAATTACCTATGCGTAACGGTATCTCCCTATGTTCGGCATTTTGATGATTTTAGCGACATTATTTATCGGAATTATTTCGAATTTCGTATTTGAAGTTCGTAATAGGCACTACAGCCAATTGTAGAGGTCTTCGTATTTTTTTTTTATTCTGCATTCTTAAGATTTTCACGGATTTTTTTTTTTTTTTTTTGAAATTTCTAAATTCTTTCCATTTGTTGGAGGCTATTCAAGGTTCGGCCCGGGGAACTTACTGATTTTTTTTACTTGTTTTTTTTTTAAATATTTTTTTTTTTTAATTTTTTAAACCTCCGGAAACTCCCATCCGCTCAAGCTTGACTTTTTCAAATTATTGCCATTGAAGAAAATACTTATATGATATCTATGGCTATTGGTAGAGAATGTGGTTTTTTTTTTTGGTTTGAGTGGAGAACTTAAAATCATTGGATTTTTTGTTTATTTCTATTGTTTTTGTTGTTATGGATTGATTGAATTTTTTTTGGTTTTTTTTTTTACAAAAAAAGAATCCATTAGAGATTCTTTTCTTTTACTGCTTGGTTTGGTTGGTTCTATGGTTTATGCTGGGTTATGGCTATTGTTTTTTTTTTTATAGTGGTATGGTTGTAGATTGAATAAATGTTATATGGCTTGGAAAAATTAAAAATAAAATAAATAAATATAAAATGCATAAAAAATTATTTGTTTAAAAAAAAGATGTGATTTCTTTTGTTTTTTATTTGTAAAATAAAATTTTCTTTCTTATATAAAAAAAAAAACATGGACTTAAAATATAACACAAAAGTTGAGAATTTTGGTATATGTTTATTCTTATTTTTCTCTCTCTCGAATAGATGATGTCCCTTGGTTTACATAAATTTTTTTTTTTAAAATAATAATAATAACTATTTTATTATTTAACTAAAACTAATGACTTGGCTTTGTTTCAGGGTTTTTTGTTTGATTTTGATTTTCGTTGAGTTTGTTTGGTTTGGTTGGTTGGTTTTTAAAACTTAAAATTTGTTGTTTAAATAAAAAGAGTAGAATTGTTAAATTTTTTGATTTGTTGATTATTATGGAAAATAATAATAAAAAAAATAATTATTTTTATGTTCTAAGTAATTTAAAAAATTATAAACTTATGACTAAAGAATTTTTAAACCTTTCAAGGTTTTTGTTAAAATTAGAAGAATTTAAAATTAAAAAATATAAAATTAATTATTTTTTAAAAACTAAAAAATTTTAACTAGTTTTGGGGCATGGGTTCGGTTTGTTCGTTTTTGCTAAAAATTAATTATATAATACGTCATATTGTTCTGGTTTTTTTAGAGATATACAAATATTACAAAAATATTATTTTTTTGTTGTTGTTGGAGAAGGAACCTTTAAAACTTAAAATTATTAAAAATTAAAAAAAAATATTTAACTAAAAACTAAATGTTGATTTTCATATTTACAATTCATGACAACGATTCACTTAGGTGACCTAAAGGCAGGCCCCTCCTAAGCTACTGAGAATTTTTTTGTTGGGTGGGGGGGGATAATTATTTACAATTCAAAGCAACGAAAAAAGGATAACAAAAATAAAAAAAAAAACAATTTACAAATTGTGAGTCAAGTCGGGTTGAGCGAGACCGGGCCCCCCTTACGAGTGGGCATTGCGGGCCATGTGCACAAAGAGACCCACCGGCCCATCACATTTCTCGCCACACATGTTGCACTTGAAGACATCGTCACAGCTGTGATAGCCCATGTGAATGGTGTAGAGCACGGCATCCTTGAAGAAGATATCACAGTATTTGCACTCGTACATGGTGGTGTTGGGACTGTTGCCCGCCGAGCTCGAGTTGGAGTTCGAGGAGGTTGAGGTGGAGGAACTGTTGGAGCTGTTGCCCGATGAGGAGGCCGTGGAACTGGCACTGGTATTGGCGGTGGTGGGATTGTGATGATGATGATGATGCCCCGTTTCCATGGATTCATCGGCCGAGGAGTGATCAGCAGCGCCCGCAGCCACACCATTCACCTGGCTGGGATGTATGGGTGAGGAGGTGGTGGGTGGCATTTCATTGTTGTGATGTAGATGATGCTGCGGAGAAGTGGGAGCCGAGGCAATTTGCAAATGTCCCGCCGTTTTCTCTTGATCCAGTTTGAGAACCCTACCCTTGCGTCGGGCCGCTGCCGAGGAAGAGAAGAGTGGAGTCTCACCATGCTCCTCGCTGAGTTTCAAGTTCATGGCCAATTCAGGGGTTTGTTGTTCCTCTTTGGTGGGGGTACCCTGAGACAAATCCATGGCGGAATCCACAGATTTGCCATCAAATTCCTCCTCATCTTCATCGACTTCGTCATTGTCTTCCTCATCCTCTTCGCCATGATTTTCGCCATTTTCATTTGCCTGCTTGTTTTGTTGTTGTTGTTGCAGTTGTTCACGCATGCGCGGCGAGAGTTGGGCCAAGACTGCCGCCTGTTGCTGGGCAGCCAACATTTGCAGGTTCAAGTTCCAGTAGGGGAAAAAGGCCATGTTGCGGTTTTGCTGCAGCAAAGAGGCCAAAGGAGGTAGGAGATTATTGATTTGTTGTTGGCTGCTGTGGCTTTGGGCTCCAGGTGACTGCTGTTGTTGCTGCTGCTGTTGGGCCAGGTTTTGTTGCAATGACATGTTAAGGGTCAAGGCAGGCAATTCCGAGGCCACAGAGCTGGAACTTTTGGCCGGAGAAGCAGGCTGTTGCTGCTGTTGTTGCTGCTGGAGAGGGAAACCTTGCAGGGCAGCCGACAGCTGAGAAGTGGGAGGAATTTTCAAATCACTACAGGCCTTTTTCAAAGCAGCATTGGCTGCCGACTTATTTTTGGGTCCACGCCGGGTGCCATAGACATCAATGACCACCGAGGGATTGGGAATACCCTCCTCATCCAATACCATGCCGGGCTTGTGTTCATATTTACGCAAATGCAACTTAAACGAGTGGCAGTACTTGGTGGCATAGTCACAGTCGGCACAGCGATACTGATACACCGACGAGTGGGATTTGCGATGCGAATTCAACATGGACTTGTTGACACAGCTGTAGGAACACTTGTCACACTGGAATGGCTTGAGATTCTTGTGTTTGCGTATGTGATACTCCAGATGATGTTTGAGTTCGGTGACAAAGGGACACTTGGGACATTGCAGGATCTTTTCGGGTTTCATGTGGGTCCTGGCATGTTCCCAGAAAGCCATTTTCGTGATGGCCACCATGCCGCAGGATTTGCATTTGTGATTTTTCATTTTGCCATGCGAATTATAGATGGGCATGCGTATGGACTCATCATCCTCGGATTCGGCAATGTATTTGAGATCTTCACTGGAATTGGAAATCAAATCCTGGTCTTCTGGGTGCTGTTGGTGGTCCATGGCTTGTACACTGGCCTTGGGCGATTTGGGTGGGGTAATGTCCATGGGAGGGGTATGGCGTGGTGTGAGGGCAGAGGACTTTTCATGGGCATCACTGAGGCAGGCTGAGGGCGAGGGAGTTTGTTGTAGCTGACGTTGTTGCTGCTGCTGCTGTTGGCTGTAGTAGTGATTCATGGCGGGCAACACGGCATTGGGCAGACCAGGTGGTGTCAGAGGATTAAAACCCAGGGGCAAGTGAGAGCTAACCTGATTTTGGGCCGCTGCCTGTTGGGCCTGTTGGAAATGCTGCTGATACAGCTGATGTTGTTGCAGACTGGGATTCAGGGCAGACGATGTGTTCGACTCAAAACCAAAATCTTGACCTCCAACATTGGTATTGGGTGAGGGAGTCATAGCACCGCTGTTATCCGAGAACTGCAAATGATGGCCACCACCGCCATTGTGGGCATGTTGCTTGAGATAGTTCTCCAAATGATTGGCACTGTGGGTCAGGGGAGAATGTTGAGGCTGGGAGGCCATCATGCTGCTGTGCTGTTGGGGGTGTTGGTGATGTGGGTTTATTGTGCCGGGTTCCTGTTTGATGTTGGCGGCAAACATTTGATTGTACCATGTGTTGTGCTCCAGGAAATTGTTGCTATTGGCGGCTGTTTGTTGCATTGTGAGGGCTGGTGATTTGTTGTTGTTGTTGTTGTTACTGGTGGCAGTGTCCCAATTTTGCATGATTTTTTTGGGAATTCGAAAATCCCTTTTTCTTTTGAAAGGTTTTTCACTCTATGCCTTGTCTAGTTTTCCAGCTTTCCAAAATAAGGGGGGAGGAGATCTAAAAAAATAAGAAAAAATTACAAAATTAATAAAATAAAATTTATAAAAAATTTAGAGGCAAAAAACAAAAAAAAGGCCACGCAAAAAAAATCAAAAAAAAAATGTCCGTGGTTTACAGCGCAAGCGCTAAAATTTACGCGTTACAGCGAAAATCCATGGCGGGGAAAGTGGGAGCCCAAAAGGACAAATTGTTGGTGTTGTTATTGTTACTGGCTTTGGCAGGGGAAAGACAGCAACAAAACAAGGAAGGACTCTCTTGAAAACAAAAAAAAAAAATAAAAAAAAAATATTTTTTTGTGAGAGAGGGGAGAGAGAGGTAAATCCTTTTTCCTCCTTTTTTTGAGGAGGATATTTTTGTGGGCGATTTTTTGTTGTTGTATTTTTTAACACTGTAATCCAAATGTGGTGGTGGTGGCGATAGGTACCTTAACAAAGAAATCCAAAGGGGGAAAGTGGAGAATCCAATATTTCGCGGTGTTTTGTTAAACAATTTCGTTATCACTTTTTGTTAATTTTTTTTTGTAAAAATAAATTGTTTTTTTTTTTAAATAAAAACTTCTTGGAAGTTTTATTTTTTTGATAATCCTTTAATTTTTTTTCAGTATTTTTTTATAAAACTCGATTTTTTGAAAATCTTGTCGTTTACACACTAATATCTCTTCTTCGTAAAATTTTGGTGTTTCGAAAATGAAAGTAAAAGAAGAGATGGGAGCGTGTTTATGTTTCACGTTTCGATGCTGAAATGCAACTGATGCTCAAACCAAAAAACCCTCAGATATTTAAACGAAAACAGAGAAGGCCCCGTTGTGAGGGAGAGCAAGAGTGAGAGAGAGAGAGAAAAAACAACAGAGCAAGAGAATGAGAGTGGTTAGATGGGTGATTGTTCTAAGCAACAAACAAGCGAACAAAAAAGGATGTGGAAATACACACATACAGCCTCATTTACGCATCTAAACACACACAGCCTCACACACACAAGATTAGAGGGAAAAGTCAACATTATGGTGTGTGTGTGTGTGTGACACGCACTCACTCACACACACAGGTAAAAAGTAGGCTCTTCTAATCTACTCTGGCTCTCAGACACACACACGTGAAATTTTCAACCAACCAATCCCGTCGCCATCGCCAGCATCCTTCTCCGACTCCATCCAACCAGGTAGGTCAGGTACGTAAATGTGTGTGTGCATGTGCGTGCGTGAACTGTTAGTCTGGATCAAATCCTTGTTGATTTTTGAGAATGGATTAAAAACATAAGTCCTTTTGCCTTAGCTAAGCGCGTATGCAGATATTTTCTTTTTTTTCGTTAGAGCGCTAATCTTGGCGATTTAGCGTTACAGCATATTTTAATCGCTTACTTAACGGCAACACACAACTTGAACCTTACTTAACTTCGAAGCGTGTGTAGCGTATGTATGTACACACTCGCCTCGGGGATTTTATGAACGGAATTAAGAAATGGATTAAATGACTTTGTAAAAAAAAGGGATCAATGCGCCGAGATTTAGCATAATATTGCCATTAAGCTGGAAAAATATTTTCGCTAATAATTTGCGCGGCGAGAGGCCAAGTGTCAAATGTCATGAGAAGAAGAAGGTGATTTGAAAAAAAAAGATATGCCGAAATGGGCATAAAAAATCCCATAAAGAAATAAAAAAAGAGTTGCTGGACAAAAGGTGTTGGGCCTGCCGGCCGGTGGATGTGGTTTTCCGAAAATAAAAAATTACAACCCAAAGTAGAGTTTTGAAAGACACTTGATTGCACAATATGACATTTTTGGAAGGACAATGAGAGCAAAAAAAAATTCGAATTATTATAGGACATTAAAATCTGAAATTTCAATTTTTATTTATTTATTTTTTTTGTTTTTTTTTTTTTTTTTTAATTTAAAAACTAAATTTCATGATTTTGAAAGAATAGATTCAAAATAGATTTCAAAAAATATTTCTAAAATTCAATCGAAGTTATTGTTTTAAAAACATTTTCAAAATAAGAAATCGAGTTTAAAAATTGGAACTAAAAATTTTCGGAAGGTAATTAAATTTAGAATTCCAACATCTTGTAAGGTTATGTAAACATAATATTTCAGGGTTTTCGAGACCTTAGCTTCAGAATTTAAAAATGTATTTTTAAACCTATTTTTTTGAAATAGTACATCAAATCTAAAAATGTGATATATTATCGAATAGTTTTAAAATAATGACTCAAAATTTTTAAAAATTAATCGAGAGAGAAATCGGAGCTCCAAACATGGATTTTCAAGGAAGTATTGCAACGTCAGTAGGAGCTAAAACATTGGCGTAAACCATTATTTTTTTGACAGACTATCGTAGCTATAATATTGAAAGTCTCACAGCTAAGATTTTTAAAGGGCGTATAAATTATTTTTTTTATTTTCTTATAGAGGCCTGAATATTAAAAATCCCTGATTTTGCAAAGATTTTTTAATGATATTTTAAGATGGACAATAAAAGCTGACAATTTAATAATATTTCCAAAAGGATATCAGGGCTTGGACATTGAAAAAAGGAAGAAATATTAAAGCTACTAACATGGATTGGAAATATATTCCTGCTGTTAAAAAATATAGTTTTTTCTAGACTATTGCTGCTGAAATCATCAAATCATAGAAAGGTCTGAAATAAAAATTGCTCTCTTTCAAATATTTTGAAGATTGTCACAGCAAATTTTCTCTTTTAAAAACAAAAAAAAAAAATAGAATTTTTTTTAACATTTTATTAGGTACAAATATCTACCAGAAGCCTCAGTATTTTTAAAGTACACATTAACATACCTCAAAGCTACAGAATATATTCTAAAACACATTTTTAAAAGGTCAATTAAAGCTGGCCCTCAAATTTTGTTCTTTGCAAATATGAAATGAAAACTTTTAAAACTGAAAGAGAAAAATTAAATGAAACATTTTTAAAAGGAAATTTTTTAAAAAAATTCCTTTCGATATTAACATTTATCGTCCGAATTGGAATCTAAAAGAAGTTCCACGCATCAACCAGTACGTAATGCGTTGATTCAGCGGCTTATGAGGTATAATATGTGCAGATATCGTAAAAAAATGTTCAAAATGGAATTAAACAAGTTAAAAAGTATCAGTCGGTTTTGCCGACAGATCTATACCCTCAGCCAATGTTCGATTATTTAAAAATATTTTGACTTCTGTTACGATTATTCAAATTGTTGACCCTCTATGGAGTTGGTTCCGAAAGAATGTACCAATATTGTCCATTTCGTATCGGACCTAAATAAACGTGGCGACCAGGTTTGGACTATATCTTCACATGAGATATGTGATAACTTTTAGAAAATGTTGAAATGTGCGTGAGGTACCAAATATATTCGACCGAGGTATTCCATTTTCATCATCATCCAATACATATAAAAATATTGGTTTTGGCAAAATTACAAGCAAATAGAAATTTTTATACCTATCCAATTTTATACGAAATCATTAATTCCATATTCATCTCAGGTTTCTGGTTGAAAGAGATATCTGGAATCACTGACTTGTTTCGCTAGTTATGACAGATAAACGTATTGAAAATTGTTACACTTCGTGGGTGAGGTGTGGTACCAGATGGGATGGCAAAAATGTTTGCATGTGTGAAATTTGAAGAGAGTTGGATGCTTATTTCGCATCACATTTTATAAGAGTTATAATTACTCAAAATGTTGACCCTTTGTGGGGAAGGTACTTGATGGAGTGGACCGATATTGTCCATTTTCGCAACTGGCCTAGAACTGATGCAAATATTAGAATTCCCAAAGTTGGAGCAAAATCGGATTATCCTCTCTCTTTTTGTGCTGCAAATTATTTTGATATTTTGTGTGGGAAGTACCAGAAGGAGTGGACCGATATTGTCCATCTCCGAAATCGATCTAAGTTTGACAAAAATATTACGATGTACCAAGTTTGGATTAAATCGGATACTCCCTTCGATAGTTATTGTGAGCACCAGCCAGACAGACAGACGGAAGGATGGACATCGTTAGATCGACTCCAAATATCCTGAAACTGATTTGGTCCAAAGAGACCTATGATCTATAACCGTTATTTCGACTAGGAACGTTTTGACCGTATCAAATGATATATAACGTCTCTAGCCATATGACTGAGGGTATAAAAACACGGAAAGGTTGAAGATAGTTAAGGACCAGGAAGTTTTAGGAGATCTTTCAGATGATCTCTCAGAGTAAAAAATACCGGTTAATTAAAGGCATGTTTGTGGATTTTTCTAAGAACAGGCAAAGGTTATCACAATTGGAACTTTCTGAGAAGGGCTTAAAGGGGTACATCTTATTTCTGAAACAGTGATTTTGGATTTTTTAAAATAATTTTTAAATATTTCTTTATAATATTTAGAATAAGTATTGAAGCATATTTTCTGAAAACATCTCATGAATAAGGATTATTTATGGATTTTGTTTTTGTAGTAAAAAAATATTTTTAATTTTTAAACCATAAACTATTAACCAATTTAGGAAAGGATAATTAGAGATCAGATGGGGAATGTGTGAAAAAAATATAATTCTAGAATTTATTAAAGAATTTGTTTTCTAAAAACTCAGCCCAAATTTGTTAATAATATTTACATTAGATCCAGCCTTAACTTTTTAAAAAAAAAAATCTAATAACCTAGCATTTTTAAAGAATATCATTAAGAAATTACCTAAATCTAAAATTTATCAGACGATAGGTTAAATAAACAAATGGGCTTTTCTATTAACAACTAATTTTTTTGCAATATTCAAGTTTTATATATTTGGGTTATTTAAAAAAGCTGTATATTTAACAATATAAACGTGTGTTTTAATTTTATTTATTTATTTTTTTTTTGAGGCAACCAAAAATTAAAATTATTTTTAGAATATGGGTCTGGGTCTGTCAACCCATAGAGGTTAATTTTTATGGGATGGCCTAAACTTGCCGAATTTCATATTATTTTTATTTAATTTATTTATTTTTTGATCGGTGTTGCAGTT